AGTGGTCGAGTGGGGAATAACTCAAGTGGTTAGAGTTTTCCACCCGATTCTAGGAGATCCTGAAATTGATTCTTACCTCACCAATTTGTACCTCTCTAAACACTAAAAAAAAACAGGTTAGAGAATTGGAGAGAAGAGAATATAAAATTAATAAAACATGATTTATATTGGGTTCACTGGGTGAGAAAAATGAATTAAATATCGTAAAGGCTTTCCAAATAAGAAAATGGAGAAAGTATTTAAAAACGGAAGGAGTACTACAAGAGTACTCCGTATGACATTTGTCATTGAAACAGTATGTTTTTAGGCTGCTCTTTCATGATTATGCTTTTAGACTTCATAATACGTAAAGTTGCAAAAAATTAAGTAACAACCGTAGTTATCCCTTCGTGTTTTAATACGAAGTAAGTGTTACGCTTACTAAATTCGGCCGTGTTTCATTAAGTGTTAAACTTCTTTTTTTGGCAAAAAATTACATTAAAATATTATATATCTCTTCTTTCATGGTCTACACCCAAACTCATTGCTACTTTTTTTTTTTTATTATATCTTTCCTTTCACGGTATTTTTCAATAAACTATTAACCCCATTATCTTTCTTTTAAAATTTTTTAATACTCCAAGTACCCCAATTACATCTTATTTTATTTAAGTCAATTAAATTGCCTAAAACTACGTGTCAGTCCTGTAATACTTAAAAACACGGAGTCAATTATATCTTTCCGTACGTAAAAAGTAAGGAGTGTTGATCAAGGTCACGATTATGATAAACAAATAAAGAGGAATTTGTTGAAGAAGAGTACATGTTACTCCGTAATACTCCCTCCGCTCCTAATTTTTTGCCCCATTTGACTTTTCGCTATCTCCAACAACATTTTAAAACGGTTATATCTCCATTTTCATACGTGTAAAAATTATAAAAACTAAATATCAATAAAATGTACAATGATGCGCATCAAACAAGATCTCGCATGACTATATTATCACTTATAGATTAAGAGTATTTTATGGTCAAAGTTTATAAAAGTTGACCCAACATTTTGCAACGAGGCAAAAAAGCAAAAATTTAGGAACAGAAGGAATACTTACTAGATATGGAAGGACAAGATTTTAAGTCAGACCAATTTTTGATAGGTTTATTGCACAATAAATGGTAGATTAGTAAGGTTTCAAAAAAAAAAAAAAAATGGTAGATTAGTAATGGTGAACATTACATTTGTATCCAATTTTTATTTTTTTAGTTGATTTGATAAATACATGTACCTTTATTTATTTATTATTTTTTTTTTTTTGGAATTTATGAAGTGGACAAAATCCATAGATAATGCATTGGGTAAGTGGTTAAAAGAGAGTTTCTAAAACACTATCCCTCTCCCCGCCAAACACTCAAACAGAGCAAATGAAGTAACATGTTGCTGCAAACTGTTAGTATTACTACCAAGAATTGACGAGCTGATCTAAGGTCAAAGTAAGAGCACCGATGACGGTTGTCGGATATCCCATCACCACCTCTCTCACTCGTGGCTCATTGCCTACTAAAGGTACCAGATGGAAATTCCAGGCTGCCAATTACTATATCATGAGGTGAATGTTTAGTTGTCAACTAGTCACCTTACGAGTTCAAATTATACTATCAACGTGACTATTAAACAGTTTGCGGTAATGTTTGGAAGTCAATGGAGACTAGATAATGTATTGAAAAAATCATTAGAATGCAAATAAAAGACGAAATATATAAAACTTGGTTAGTATTTGCACTATATTATACTCCATATGAATTTAACTAGATAAGATTAGCGTGGACAAATTTGATCATATCCTTAATTACCATTCAAGTTGGCCTAGTCTTTTGTACAGTCCAGTGATCTTTAATTTGATGTTAGTGTGAAATAGTATAGAATCATAATTAACATGTAATTAATTTTATGTCAATTGTGCAGTATATATATGGATCTAAGAAGGTATAACAACCGTAGTGCTTGGAAAGTAAAATGCTCCGATGTTGAGGTTCCTCAGAAGTTGAAGCATGAGGACACATATGTTGACAGACGAGACAAGTTCAGAAGGTTCAATCGAAAAAAGTTGTCTAGGAAACGATGTATGTACTTGTAAAGCATAGCAATGATTTGAGCACTAACACCCATTTTTTAACTATATGTGATGAGCTTTTATCTTAAGTTTGGTAATCTGTTATTCAAAATCAGGTGGAGGATTAAGAGGACGCGGATGGAAATTTGGTTCTGGATTTATTGATGGTGTTTTCCCAGTGCTTAGCCCAATTGCTCTGAAAATTCTGGAACTTGTAGAACAGAATGAAGATATTGATAGAATTTGGACCGTGCTTGACACCCTTCCTCGAACACATACCACTTGGGATGATATTGTAAATGTAGCTGTACAACTACGCTTGAACAAAAAATGGGATGAAATTGTGGTGGTGAGGAAACTTTTTACCTCCATCAGTTCTTTTGTATAGTGTCATGTTAAATGTAGCTAGCTTCGGTTTAATCTTTTGACAGAGTGGTTCTTTGACATGGTATCGAAGCTAGGAAGATCCTTCTTTAGCCCTTGAATAGCTATTTTTATGATTAGTTTGACACTTTGACTTTTTTGCAGCTGTGTCAATGGATATTGCACCGGAGTTCCTTCAAACCAGACATTCTGTGTTACAATTTGATGATTGATGCTTTTGGACAGAAATCACAACATAAGAAGGCAGAAGCTGTGTATTTAGAACTTCTAGAGGCTCGATGCATTCCAACTGAAGATACTTATGCACTTATGCTGAGGACTTACTGTGCTTCTAGGTTGTTTGCTAAAGCTGAAGCTATCTTCTCTGAGATGCGAAAATATGGCCTTTCCTCGAGTATGTTCTTATATACTGCCTGTTTTTTTTAAAACTGTATGCTGACAGAACATGAATGATTGATACTATATCCACTCTTGATGGTAAAAATTTGCCATAAAGCTCATGTTTTCTGCTATGTAGCATAGAAGAAAATAACCTTTTACTTTTCTTGATCCATCCTTAAAAAATAATGCATAGTTTACACTAGTAAATTTTCTAAGTAAAATTAGGGACAACATGCTTACACAAAATTTGTAATTTTTTCTTATTTGCTGTAATGAAGTTCTTGATTGGATTTCTTAGGTGCCGTTGTGTATAATGCTTATATTGAAGGATTGATAAAAGGAGGAAACAACACAAAAGCGATTGAGATATATGAGAGGATGAAGCAGGAACGATGTGAGCCAACTACTGAAACTTATACAATGCTAATCAATTTATATGGAAAGGTTAGTCAGAACTTAATACTCATAGGAACTATCTTTTATATTAGCCATCAGCATGCAGCCGCGTATTGTTTGGACCTTGATCAATATCATTAATTCATACTGTAAGCCAATTTTGTGCAGTGTTTCTGCAATCAGTTACAGAAAGTCTGAAACACCCATTCTGTTTCTTGGCATTGTTATTCGATCAAATGTATAGGTCGGACATAATCTGATCAGATCGAATTACAAATAAATGGCCATTATGTATGCAGGCAAATAAATCTTATATGGCCCTCAAGGTGTTCAATGAGATGAGAACTCGTAAAGGCAAGCCAAACATCTGTACTTACACTGCACTAATCAATGCATTTGCAAGGGATGGACAATGTGAGAAAGCGGAAGAGATATTTGAGTTGCTACAAGAGGCTGGCCTTGAGCCTGATGTTTAGTCTTACAATGCACTGATGGAAGCTTACAAGTTAGTATCTATTTATATGCTTCCAAACTTTTTGGATTGTTTGTTACATCGTGTAAGGCGGTCTTTTGTTATGTCTTTAACTTGATGATACTAGTAGAGTCTAACTAATTTATCCCCTTTGTTTTCGATTTCTCATAGTCGTGCAGGGTATCCTTATGGCGCTGCAGAGATATTTTCATTGATGCAACACATGGGTTGTGAGCCAGATAGAGCCTCATATAACATCATGGTAGATGCCTATGGTAGAGCTGGTCTAGTTGAAGGTAACATAATTTGCCATCATACTACTTCTAAGAGCTCGAGTCAGACATGGTTGCATACATATAAACATTAGCTCTAACAAATTGCAAAGTGTTTGTTTATGCTTGAGGGGTAATGTCTAAAATTTCAATTTTTTAACATACTAAATTTAAAAAGTGGCCAATTATATGAGACCAAATTACCTGAATTAGAATTTTGGCCAATTATTAGGAACAAAGGGAGTCTACTTTGGTGTTAAATTTCTACTTGGATAAAAAATATCCTCATACTATGCTTTCAGATGCGGAAGGTGTGTTCGTGCAGCTACAACAACTCGGCATGACTCCAACCATGAAATCCTACATGTTGTTACTATGTGCCTACGCGAAAGCAGGGGACATTGCCAAGAGTGAAGATTTTGTAAATGAGATGATGAAGTCAGGTATCAAACCAGACACTTATGTCATGAATAGCATGATGAATTTGTATGGTAGGTTCGGCCAATTTGAGAAGATGGAACAAGTTTTGAGTGCATTGGAGGACGAACCCAATGTAGCTGCTGATATAAGTACTTACAATATACTAATAAACTTATATGGTCGAGCTGGATACTTTGAGAAAATGGAGCAGCTGTTCCATTCACTCGGCGATAAAAAATTAAAACCAGATGTTGTGACATGGACATCGCGCCTAGGAGCTTATTCGAGAAAGAAGCAGTACAAGATGAGCTTAGAGATATTTGAACAAATGATAGATGCTGGGTGTTTTCCTGATGGAGGGACTGCAAAAGTTCTTCTTTCATCTTGTTCAAGTGAAGAACAGGTAGAGCAAGTTACTACAATTCTTAGAACAATGCATAAGGATGTCAAGCCTATACTCAATATTGAGAACAAATGAGTACTAGCTGAACTTAACTTTACACATGTATATATCTATAGTGCTTTGTTAAGAAAATAAAATAATATTGAGTTAGAATTTGAGTCTAATTCAGGAAATCTTGATCAGAGTTGGATTAAAAGTCTAGTTATAAATTACATACAAGACAAGTTTTGCAGCATCCAATTCGAATTCTGCCTGTTTCATCACTCACCAAGTCACCTCCTTTCCATCAAAATAAACCAACTAACTATTTTATTCTATCATTAGCGCAAGGCTCACAAATACGGAAACAAGTAGTTCAAATCAATTCTACTTTCAAAACAACAAACCAAAGCTAAAGATGCTGATCTCAGTTTTAAAAGTTTCAATTTTAGACAGGATAAGAAGCATCAAACCTTAGGACAATGCACAGCACAACAGCTTTGACTTTATTCCACAGAATACCTTCAAGGCCTTATGGAGGACATAACAACATAGATGACTTTGTTTGTCAAATATACAAATCAGATAGATTCAGCTGATAAACTTCTTTAGCAGGTCCTTGTTTGAGTCACTTAAGTTATCAGAAGACAAGAGACCAACAAACAATGACAAAGTGTCTGCATCAGCTTTGAATCCTTTTTTGACCATAAGATCACAATAATATAATGCTTTTGATAAGTCATGATTGAGTATATAGCCTCTGATTATTGTATTATAGGTAACATCATTAGGGGGGCAACCATCTTCCTCCATTATCCTCAACACTGGAGCAGCTTCACTCGTGAGCCCTTTCTTGCAGAAGCCTTTAACCAGTATACTGTATGTTTTCACATTAGGTTCCAGACCTTTTGTTACAAGATCTGAAAAGAACTTTGCTGCATCATTAAGTTGTCCAGCCTCACACAAGTTATCTATTAGAATACTGTAGATGACAATGTTTGGCTTAACACCATTATCCTCCATATCTTCAAGTAATTTTACAGCCTCGTCAAGCTGAGCACTTTTGCAAAGGCTGTCAAGTAAGGAGGCATAGGTTACAGCATCTGGAGCAATTCCATGATCCCGCATTTCCTTGAACAGCTTATGCGCGTGTGGGAGTCTATTGGCTTTGCACAGTCCATCAATAAGAGTGCTATAGGTAACAACATTAGGTGTTATATCTTTCCGAAATATCTCTTGGAAAATGTTAAGGGCCTTGTCAATGTTTTTAGCCTTGCAATATCCATTAATCATAGTGTTGAAACTGAAAAGGTCAGGCTCACAGCCATTTTCAGCCATGAGAACGAGTAGGTTCTCTGCATCCTCCATCTGACCGCACAAACAGTATCCATCCAGTAACGCATTATAAGTAATGATGTTAGGAGTCACGCCTTTCTCAATCATGTGCTTTAGAATGGACTGAGCTTGATCAACACAGCCATCTTTACAAAACATGTCAACCAGCATGCTGTAGGTCTTAACATTAGGTGCAATGTTGCTCTCTAACATCTCAGTCAACATACGATGAGCCTCATCCCCACAGCCGGAATTGTAGAGGCCTCGAACCAAGGAAGTAAAAGTGACAACATCGGGTTTAATGCCCTGAGTTTTCATGGAGGAGAACAGGTCCAGGGCCTGTTGTAACAACCTGTCCTTACAAAGACTATCGATGATAGTGCTGTATAAAACAATGTTAGGCTTAAAATGAGATCGAGATTGCATTTTGTTAAGCAAAGTGAGAGCAGACGTATTGTCGCCAATCCTACAAAGTCCTTTGACAATAGTACTATACATAATTAAGTTGGGTTGTAAACCAAGCTTGACAATTTGATTCAACAAATGAGCAGCTTGGGGGAGCTTATCAGAGTGAATATAGCCATTAATTAAGGTATTAAAAATGACAGAATCAAGGGGATAACCAAGCTTAAGTCTTTTAGCAAGGAGAGAGAATCCGAAATCAACTCTGCCCAAATGACAGTAGCAATTAGCAAGAATACCAATGGAATGCATATTGGGTTTAATACCAAACAATTCAAGCTGCCGGAAGAGAGAGATAATGGTGGAATGTGGATTAAAGCGCTTCAATTTAACAATAGCAGTAAATAACTGATTGAAATACATGACAGAAGGAAGAGGGCGCAAATTAATCATTTGATTATATAGAAAAAAGGGGGTTTTAAGATCGGAAAACCCTAATTTGGATTGTTGAGTAATTGAAGTTAGAAACAGTTGACGATGTTGGGAAGAAGAAAACAGTCGAAAATGGGAAAGAAAAGAAGGGGAAAGAGAAATACCGGCATTAAAGAAGAAAGCAGAAGCTTTAGAAGGAATCATCATCATCATCATCATCCCTGAGTTTCTCGCAATCTTGGGTCTCCTACTCCACTTTGTTGCTTTGACAGCCTTTTGGTGAAGTATTTAGGAAATGCACTTCCAGGCTTTCAGCAATTCAGCCCCCTCACAGCTCTTTGCTCTGTTATACACCTTTTTAGGAAGTGCATTCTTATCAACAGAAAATAAGTTCAGGCGTTCAGCTATCAAGTAGAGTAGTAGACAAAATCGAAAATTTGTTTATCATGGAGTATCATTTTCGTATAATCCGTAATCTATTTACTACTCCGTATTACTAAAGCAGAAGTAGCTGACATTACCATTGCCCACGTGTCACTTTCTCAAATAAAATTTTCTCGCCAAATGCAGTGATGATGACAACTTTTTTTTTTTTTATTTATTTTGTACAGTTATCATATTTAATATTTTTGAAATTTAAATATTGGAAACTTCTATATTTACAACTAAAACCTATCAATTTATCGTTGGAAATTGAAATAATTTTTATTAGCACACTAATAAATGACCTCATTGAACTATAAATTAGACAACGTTGAACATATACTATTATATAATAATTAAGTGTGCAAAAAAAAAAAAAAAATTATGTGCATAATTTTTTAACTAAATGTGCAAAATAAAAAAAAAATATTCTTCAAAAATAAAAAAAATAAAAAAAAATGATTCAAATTTGATGTGCATAATTTTGAACACAATGTACACAAATACACAATGCTATACCAAGTAAATCAAGGGCCATTCTTGATATTCCGCCTGCTTAAATCGGGGGTATTTATGTAGTTTCTTCATCATGACATGGTATATTGGGGCCACACAACGATGTCCACGCAACAAAACGTTGGGTTCCGTCATGTTTTCATTTTGCTCCATTTTTTTGTAGTCCGTCAACAATAATTTTATTTGGGTAGGGTTGTTCATTAATCATTAGTCATTTAATTGGTTAGGGTTAAGTTCTTCATTGTTTTCCTCAATTTGATTTCAACTCTTCTCAAATTCGTTGTCATGACATATATAGTTAGCCAACCAATAATCATTTGCTCGATTTGCCTCCCTATAGCATTGAGTAACAACAACTTCCCAATCTCTACATGAGATGAGAGTCTTGCATTTGCAAAATAATATGTGTATAAGTGAAAAATTGATATCCCTTATTATGGAAGTATACAATATAACAAATCCAACAATGTATTATACAATAACATTTGTTTTTATATATTAGTAAGTTAATCAATTTAAAACCATTAAGTGAACAGCGAAAAAAAAAAAAAATCAAAATGTAACACTTATCGAGAGGAGTAAACAATATCCATTATCAAATGGAGAAAATGAAGTAACATGTGTCGAATTTAGGAAAATCTAATATGATTAAAGTTGGAATAAATAGTCAAATTACTACGTACTAGTTTCGTACGTACAAGACAAGTTTTACAGAATTACAGCATCCAATTCTAATCCCACCCGTTCCTTCACTCACCAAAGTCACCTCCTTTTCATCAAAGTGGACCAACTAACAATTTTATTCTATCATTAACACAAGGCTCACAAATATAGAAACAAGTAGTTCAAATGAATTCTACCTTCTTAAAAACAAACCAATAAAAGAGGTAGCAAATTGGCAATAATACCAATTTAATAAAAAGGGATTATTATACAACTAACAAGCTGCAAGTCAAAAGAAAAATTCAATTTAAACTATGAGAAGAACAAAACGCCAACAAGACTCATCACTCACCTCCCTAGCTACAAATTAAAGCTAATACGACTCCACTTCCCATCCTTACATTTTTTACTACATAATTTTAAAATATTTCATGCCCTTTTTTTTTTTGTTGTTGTGAAATCATGCCAAATTTCATCCTTATTATTAAAAATAAATAAATATAATTGATATTTTCATGTGTTACTTTTTTTTTTGTCATTTTACGCCATACTCTTGTCACCAGTTCACTGTTCACCATCATGATAAATGGTGTGTCAATTTCAAAATAAATAAATAAATAATAATAATAATAACAACAAAATAAAGTGATGGTACTTTTTGAAGTAGCATTTGAAAGATAAATAATTTAATTTCACTTATATATTTATTCATTCAACCTAGGATTTGTTGTATTGTATCTTTGTATATCAATGAGTTAATATGAAAAGTTAATGGTACGGTTAAGTATCATGTCACAAATGAAAACGATTTCAAGCATCGGAAACTAATATATATAATTAATTAATTAACTACTACGACAACTAACATCCACCACAAGCTTGTCTATCTTGAGGCGGAACAACCACCAAGGATAGGCCCTGACCGACCCCAAGTGAGCCCCAGGCCAAGTAAATTTTTCTTCACTCCATATCAAACTTAAATACTAGAAGTATATTTTTTCAACATATGTTGCAACACAATGGTTAATTTGATGAGGTAATTAGAGACTTAGATCTTTAGAAGTGTCTATTTAGCTACATGCCTACATTGCATGGATGGGATTTAATTTTTAAAGTTTTACTACTGCAAAGTCTTCTATCTATAACATGAAAAGGTAAGGGTTAAAAGTTAGGTATTATTTTCTTTTTTGGGAAGATTTTTTGAGACTAAAGACTTCAAGTTGGTTGGCATCGAAAAGAAATGTGCACCAACATAATACATGACATGTATAGTAGGACTCCATTAAAATAGATTCGAATACAATTGCATGAAATCACAACCAACAATTTCCAACTCCCATTACTCTTTCTTTTTTTCATTTATTTTCTCATCTTTCAAACCAACTCCCAATAATCATACTACAACCATCATCATTAACTTATTATATTTACAGTTAATGCTCCAGATTAGGGTTACAAGCAATGTAGCTTCCTCGCTCCTCCTTAGACTTTCATGGAATAAACATTATTTTTGGAACGGAGTAAATTAATGTTTTATTTTAATTTATGGAAAACCCTTAATTTATTAATTAGTTCAACAAGATTTTCATATACTTTTTGTAGTTTCTAATGTTTTTTTATATCTTTTTCCTCATTATTATCACATTATTACCTCACCATATTCTTAATTATTTAGATAAACGATCAATATATGCACCCTTATCAGTCAAAAGTGGAAATATTAGGTTGGTTAAATGAAACAATAATTATACTCACCAATTAACGTGTAAATTTATACGCATTTTATATCAACACTCCATCCTAATTTAATCAATAAAGGATTTTATATGCAATTTTTAGGATAAGGAATAGTAATAATATTAGATCTCGAAAATATAGGAGACTGAGATATTTAAGAATATAACAAGTGTTTTCTCATGGTTGATATGTATTATACTTAGAATATCGAATTAGGGGCAAAATTACCCCTACTTACTTTTTAACTACCTCATCCTATTCAACTAAAATTTAATTTGTTTTTTTAAAACTCATCATATCTATCCAATCCCTTCCATACCTAGTCACGAACTCAATCCCTATATAGTGAAATAAACGAGCGGTTTACCTCCAATCCCCATCACCTTAAACAAATCTCTCTCCATAAGCGTTACGAGTAAAATTAAAATCTACTAGCAATAACTCAGCATTGTGCATCCGGATACACTAGTCAAGTTGCATAAACCAACACTAGAATCCTGGCTAAATCTATCACCCAATAATTTATCCATAAAAATCCAACAATCATAATTCAAATTCATAATTCATAATTTCATACATATAAATTCTCCCTCTCTTCCTTCCTTCCTTCTTCTCTCCCACCACTCTCTTTCTCTCTCTTCAACCACTCCCACTCTCTCTCCTCAAATGGCAACCACCACTAACACCACACCCTCACCCATTAAATCTCTCTCACTACCCTTCAAAACACGTGTCAAAGTCACAGCCATCAACTTCGCCACCGACATTGTCCGCCGTACAGATGGCACAATCAACCGCATCCTCATGAACCTTCTAGACCGCCGCGTCGGACCCAATCCCACCCCTTACAACTCCGTCTCAACCCACGACGTCGTTTTCGACCCTTCCAACAATCTCTGGTTTCGCCTCTTCGTCCCTCACAAATCCGACGTCGTTTCATTCCCCATCATCGTCTTCTTCCACGGCGGCGGTTTCGCCTTCCTCAGCGCCGCCTCCAACGCATACGACGCCGTTTGCCGTCGTTTCGCCCGCAAACTAAACGCCGTCGTTTGCTCCGTCGAATACCGCCCCTCACCGGAACACAAATTCCCTTCCCAATACGAGGACACCTTCGCCGTCCTTAAATTCCTCGACAACCCCGATAATCGGAAAAACCTCCCATTCTGGCCGGAAAAAGCTGACTTGTCAACCGTATTCTTCGCCGGAGATTCCGCCGGCGGTAACCTCGCACACCACCTCGCCGTAAACTACGCGAAATCATCCTCCACTTTCACTCTCCTCAAAGTCATCGGACTCGTCAACATCCAACCCTTTTTCGGCGGGAAAGAGCGAGTCAACTCGGAAATCGAACTCGAGGGTGCGCCAGTTGTGTCAATGGATCGAACCCAGTGGTTGTGGAAGGCGTTTTTACCAGATGGGCTGGACTGTGATCATTGGGCCGTGAATGTAAGTGGGCCGAATGCAATAGATATAAGTCGGGTCGAATACCCGCCCACATTGTTGTTTGTGGGCGGGTTTGACCCGTTGAAGGATTGGCAAAAGAGGTATTATGAGTGGTTGAGAAGAAATGGGAAAGATGTGAAGTTGGTGGAATATTCTAGTGCTATTCATGCTTTTTACGTTTTTCCTGAATTGCCTGAAGCTGAGTTGTTGTTTGCTGAGGTTAAGGAGTTTTTCAACAACCAAATTTCTAAAGTTAGGCGAACTAAAATTTGAGCTGCTTTTGTTATTATTATTTTTTTAGTATCTTTATTTGGTTCAATTTAGTTGTGTATTATGTTCATTGATTTCAGAATTTGGAAAAAAAGAAAAAAAAAAGATTAATACATATAAACCTATTATTATGTATAGGGTTTATATATATATAATGCTTCGTAATTATTAATGGCATGTCAAGTCGTTTAGGTTTATGGAGATACTCTCTAGTTTGATAACCTAAACTCGTTGTTGATTAACTTTTGTGTGGTTCCATGTATAATCTAATAGTTATATTGTTAAATTTCTCTATTTTGTTATAATGTTATGTGAATTTTTTAGATGAAGATTTTAAATAATTGAGATATATGTTACTTTGAAGTTACAAGAACATATTGATAATGATGATTAGAGTGATGATGAAACGGTTCGAAATTGATGAGAGATCAATTGGAGTTTGCTTAAAATTTATTAGGATTAGGGTATGTTGGATGGAGTAGTCAGTACTCAGTAGTGTACTAGTGTATGATTAAAGTCGAGAATATAGTGTAAAACTACTATGAATTAATAATTGTTTCAATGGGTTTTCTATTCTAAAGAAAATTAATTTGATATAATGTTTGATTACTACTTAAAATAGAAAGTGCGTCTTTTAATTGGTAGGGACAAAATACAGGGAAAAAGTTTATATCACACATAGTCTAATTAGGCAAACAGTTTGAAAGGACTAGCTTGATTAATGATTACAAGTAGCTTAAACACGAAACACGAATGTTATGGTGCTTCAATTCTAATCGCGCATGGAATAGTACGCTCCCATTAGATTAGGCATGCTTATGTATATCACCACTAAGAATAAAATTATTTTTGAATGAAGAATATTATGACATTTTTTATGAGAATTATGCACAAGAGAGATGCATATATATGAAGTAAAGTAGTCCGTAAACAATAATTCTCGAACCTCCCACGCATTGAGAACATATATGCTTTATAAACTTAGATAAATCAAAGAATTGCAAATTATGGAGACTTGGAGAGATTAGAAAAATCAAAATTTACAAAATAATTGTACATACTACTGTATGTAGTTAGGTTTAGTAGTGTTTATAAGAGAGATAAATTTATATTGTTATAGTGCGTGTGGCTGTGTATTCATCTTATTTTTATTTATCTAAAATCAGAATTTATTTTCACTTTTATGAGTAAAGATGAAGTTATCTTAAAATTGTAAATTGAGCTTTAATAACTTGACCAAAATTTATCAAAATCTATTTTAGTTTAAAACTTATCTTAACTATATTTAATTTAAATTGATGTTGTTAGAAAATTATTATTATTTGTCCTAACTACACATCGAGTGCATTACTACTCCCTCTGTCCCCAATTGTTTGCCCTGAACCATAAATGTATTTTATTAAGGTTTTGGGCAAAAAATGATGCACATGGGTTGACACAAATATCAATGAGGAGCGAGATAAAGAGAGTGCAAGTGAGAAAACATGCCAAAAATAATATGGAGCAATCTTTTAGGGACACCTTAAAAAAGAAAGTGGAGCAAACAATTAGGAACAGAGATAGTACTATGACTTAATTTTCACATAGTTTAATATTAATCTTACCTAAAATAAAACTTTGGAACAAATGATGGTACACTTGGCATATAAGTATACAACATAAAAGTATTTTATACATCCATATAATTGGTACCATTATTATAATATTATCTTTGTAATATAATATCCATTTTTTCTCTGGAAGTTGCGGTGAAAATTGACTCTTTGGGATTTCCCACTTAAGGAAGAGAGCGCAAAGATAATGGCATGTCCCCTTAAAAGAGAAAGTGACTATTTATGAAAATTATGACTATTACGTGGAGCCGGAGGTGCATGTTGTTAATTGACAAGTAGATTTCATGACACTTTTTATGAATAAATTTAAAACAAGGTGATACTCCTTACTCCCTCTGTCCCTAATTATTTGCTCTATTTTTTTTAAAGTGTCCCTATAAGATTGCCCTATACTACTTTTGGCATGTTTTCCCACTTCCACTCTCTCTATCTCTCTCCTCATTGATATTTGTGCCAACCCATGTGCACCATTTTTTGCCCAAAGGCTTAATAAAGTGAATTTGTGGTTTGGGGCAATCAATTAGGGACAGAGGGAGTATTTCCTTGACATTTATGATTAATAGTCCTACATCCTACTTCGTCCTACAACAGCAAGGGTTTTTAATAAACATCAGTAACATGTACACTCGTACAAATTTCGAGACTGATTATATACTATCTCCGTTAATGGTTATCTGCAACTTTGGGGTATTATTTGTGAGGTATAAAAAAATTCCAAAGTTGCAGATAACCATTAACGGAGGTTGTATTAAAAACATCTTGTCCAAAAAAAAAAACAAAACAAACAAACTATACAGTATACACTGCATTAATTAAATTTTATAAAAATCAGACCAAATCTCTTTGTTTCATGTGAGGAGAACATGTCCCTTCCTGATTTATCACTTTCACGTTATCTAAGATGTCTGTTATACATCTAGATTTATATATATACCACACATACAAAATTATTGAACAATATTTACGAAGTACTTGTATTATATTGCATGTTTGTTTTAGTTCCACATAAACAAGAAATTCTGTGCATAATGATGTGTATAATAGAGTAAACAATGGTGTACAATTGTATACGAGTACATAATAATGAATAATATTTCAAAATTAATTATCAATAATCACGTAAAGGTGTTGTTTAATTTGATTTATTTAATCTTTTTTACATGAATTATTATTATTATAATTTATTTCTTTTTATGAAAGGGAGCACAAGGCTTAATCATCTATTAACTATAACTAAAACAAAAATCTGCTGACATCACCTTCTCTCTCAAATTTCTGAAAATTTTTCCCTACCAAATGACTTATGATGTCATATATATTTTGTTTTTTTTTTTTTTGAATTGGTTATTTTTTATTTTTAATCATTTTCATTTCAATCTTTTAATTTGACCGTGTCAATAAACAAATAAAATTTATTTTTGGTTGGAATAAATAAATTGCTATTTAGAAATATGCTTTTATTTTTATATTTTGTTACTCATGTAATTTATGATGATAGTTTCATATCTTTTATGATTTAATTTATAAGTATGTACAATAAAATAAATAATAGAAATGAGCTATTTTGTTTCAATAATTTTTGTAATTCGTGCATCGCACGGGTCTAATCTAGTTCATTAATATATAAGATTATCCATGAGTACGTAAGGAGACATCATTTGGCACATATTTCTCCCAAATTTGCTCAACATTAAATGGAATGTACTTAGCAAGATTATCAGCCTCATAGCATAGCATCCAAAAGAGTTGCATCCAAATCAGTGAGGTGGGTGGCCCCTTTTGACAAGCGGTTAGTAACCACTTGATAATCAATTTCAATAACAACGGTCCAAGAGGCTATTCTAATTTACTAAACTGTGTTGAATTGAACTGAACTGAATAGAGATGAAATGAATTTTACTCCGACACTCCGTGTAACACGTTGACGTTGAAAATAATTACAAGTACGCCGTAATATTATTAATCGTTTCTTTTGACGGAGTACGAAAACAGTTGGACTTATGACTCATGGATTGAATTTGGATTTGTCACTTTTGTCAGTGGTCCACTGGTGCGGGTAGCTAGTAAACAAAGTAGGACCAATGGATGGAAAATGCAACCGAAACTACTCAATCAAAACTCAAAAGTCTTCCCCCAACCATCTTGTGGACCTTGTATTGTTGCATGTAGATCATTATTGCTTCCTTTTAAATTAGTTGTATCATTATCCTTGTTAATTACGGAGTAACAAACTAGTGTGTAGATAGGAGTTTTTAAGAATAATAAGTTACTCATTTTAATTTTTTATTGTTATGTTTTGTATTATGTAGTATGTATGGTGATTAAAAAAGTAAAGTATAAATATATACATTTTATAATTTCAAAATTATATATTATACTACTTTACAGTTTTTTTTTTTTTTTATAACTTAATGAGAGTCTTAAAAAAAATGTACAGTTATAAGTAAAAGTATTTATTTCAATGAAAAAAAAAAAAACCAAAATCTAAGAGCTTGTTTAGCATCGTTTTTTGTTTTTTTTTTTTTTAAAACTAAAAACCAAAAACAGGAAACGAGAAATAAGAAAAAGGTGTTTCCACTTTTCTGTTGCCAGTTTTCAAAATTATCATGATTTTAATAAGTTTGAATAATTTTTTACTCATTATGTGACACATATTATATGGTTTAAGAAAACAAAAAAACCAAAAAACATAAACCATAGTGATGCCAAACGAACCCTAAGAGACCTGTTTTATAAATAACAGTTCTCTTTTCTTTTAACATGGAAGCAGCAAGTATAGCAGCCTAAAAGAGACATGTTATATTGTTATTTAAGACAACATGTCTTTATTATTTTAATTTAACATGGAAAGCGGACCACTTATCTTAAATAAGCGATATGTTTGAACACTTTTTTTTTTAGATACGCTTGTGCTTTCGTGGGTCCGCCACAGTAGATACTCACTTGTCCCATAATATAATTCCTGTTTTCCTATCTAGGAGAATTAAAATTTTGTTCTTGTTTCTATTTTTTGGATAATATGTAACGTCTATTATACCTTTAAATTTTTTAACTTTATTTATTGTACTTCTTAATTTACCCTTAAATTTTGCACATGTATTATACTTTCTCTCCCTAAATTTTGTTTACGATTGTATTTTTACTTTTATTAATGTATATTATTCGCCTTTTCCTCCTGTTTCTTAAATACTGTGGAAAAATACAAACAAGAACTATATTATAGGACGGATGGAGTATAAAAATAAAAATTATAAAATTGGATGTTCTTTACAAAATAGTTTTATGTTCTTACCAAAACACGTATATGTTCTTTACACATTTTTTTTGTCTATACCAAGCAAGGTACATCCAGCCGACCTTAAAATTTTCACACATATTTTACAGTCGTTTTGTTTTTAAATACTTGCTCATTTTTCCTTTCTCAGCCATTTTTACATTCTTATTATATTTCCTTATTTGGTAAAATATTCAATCAATCTTTCTCATCTAGTGGACCCAACATAAATATTTACTCCGTATTTATTAATTCCATATTCTCTCTCCTCTAATTTTCTCCATTATTTTTGTTTTATTTTTTTTTTTTGAGTTTTTTTTATTATTTTCCCTACCCCATTACCTCCATATTTTATTATTTCTTCAGTTTTTCTTAGATCTCTGCACACGGAGAAATGGAACCAGTATTTTAAAACCGATGGAGTATTAGGAATGTTTGTAGCAACCGTATTTACTAAGTAATTTTTTTTTATTTTTTTTTTTTATTTTTTTTTTTTTAAGAACTCATCCAAATACTACGAATAATTTATTTCGTACAGTCAAAATGAGATTTCCCACCCATTTTACACCGAAGGCTGTCAAAGACTCAAAAGCAACAAAGTGGAGTAGGAGACCCAAGATTGCGAGAAACTCAGGGATGATGATGATGATGATGATTCCTTCTAAAGCTTCTGCTTTCTTCTTTAATGCCGGTATTTCTCTTTCCCCTTCTTTTCTTTCCCATTTTCGACTTTTCTCTTCTTTCCAAAATCGTCAGTTGTTTCTAACTTCAATTACTCAACAATCCAAATTAGGGTTTTCCGATCTTAAAACCCCCCTTTTTCTATATAATCAAATGATTAATTTGCGCCCTCTTCCTTCTGTCATGTATTTCAATCAGTTATTTACTGCTATTGTTAAATTGAAGCGCTTTAATCCACATTCCACCATTATCTCTCTCTTCCGGCAGCTTGAATTGTTTGGTATTAAACCCAATATGCATTCCATTGGTATTCTTGCCAATTGCTACTGTCATCTGGGCAGAATTGATTTCGGCTTTTCTCTACTTGGTAAAATCATTAAGCTTGGTCATCCCCTTGATTCTGTCATTTTTAACACCTTAATTAATGGCAATATTCACTCTGATAAGCTTCCCCAAGCTGCTCATTTGTTGAATCAAATTCTCAAGCTTGGTTTCCAACCCAACTTAATTACGTATAGTACTATTGTCAAAGGACTTTGTAGGATTGGCGACAATGTGTCTGCTCTCACTTTGCTCAACAAAATGCAATCTCGATCTCATTTTAAGCCTGACATTGTTATATACAGCACTATCATCGATAGTCTTTGTAAGGACAGGTTGTTACAACAGGCCCTGGACCTGTTCTCCTCCATGAAAACTCAGGGCATTAAACCCGATGTTGTCACTTTTACTTCCTTGGTTCGAGGCCTCTACAATTCCGGTTGTGGGGATGAGGCTAAGCGTGTGCTGACCGAGATGTTAGACAGCAACATAGCACCAAATGTTCAGACCTACAGCATGCTGGTTGACATGTTTTGTAAAGATGGTTGTGTTGATCAAGCTCAGTCCATTCTAAAGCACATGATTGAGAAAGGTGTGACTCCTGACATCATTACTTATACTGCCTTACTGGATGGATATTGTCTGCGTGGTCAGATGGAAGATGCAGAGAACCTACTTGATCTCATAACAAAAAATGGCTGTGAGCCTGACCTTTTCAGTTACAACACTATGATTAATGGATATTGCAAGGCTAAAAACATTGACAAGGCCCTTAACATTTTCCAAGAGATGTTTCGGAAAGATATCACACCTAATGTTGTTACCTATAGCACTCTTATTGATGGACTGTGCAAAGCCAATAGAATCCTAAATGCACGTAAATTGTTCAAGGAAATGCTAGCTGCCGGAGTTACTCCAAATGTTGTCACCTATGCCTCCTTGCTTGACAGCCTTTGCAAAAGTGCGCAACTTGATGAGGCAGTGAAATTGCTTGAAGAAATGGAGGATAATGGTGTTAAGCCAAATGTTGTCATCTACAATATCCTAATAGACAACTTGTGTGAGGCTGGACAACTTGAAGATGCAGCAAAGTTCTTTTCAGATCTTGTAACAAAAGGTCTGCAACCTAATGTTAAAACATACAATATAATGGTCAAAGCCTTCTGCAAGAAAGGGCTCATGAGTGAAGCTGTTCAACTTCTCACTAATATGGAAGAAAAGAGCTGCTTTCCAGATGGTATAACCTATAACACGGTTATAAAAGGATTTATTCAACACAATGACTTTCCAAATGCCTTACACTATCGAGATATTATGGTTAGCAACGGATTTGAAGCTGACGCCGACACATTCTCGTTGTTCACCGGCCTTTTGTTTCGTGATAAGGAGTTGCTGCGAAAGTTCATCAATTGAGTTGAATTTGAGATGGTTTCAATACTTACAACCATGAGATTTTGGAAAAATTTGTGCATCAGGTATGTGGCTGTTCTACAGTTGACCATTACTTTTGTATCACTTGAAAGTAATAAAAATTATAAGAAGCTTCATCTTGATTTTAATATTCTTTGTACCAACTGTATTGTTCTCTTTTCATTATATATAGTTTGAGGCCTTTAAACTTTATGGCTTTGTTGGCAATTATCCTCAAAATTGACATTCTCTCATTTGCCTTCTGTCCTATGAAGTGTATAATCTCAGCTACGATGGGTTTTTAACCACATTACCCATCATTTTAACTCTCTTGCAGATGGATGAAAGCTTTATGTATGTAACCCCTGAATTGAAATTCAATCCTCTCTTCGTCCCTTAATACAAAGCCTCTTTCTAGCATTTATTATTCACATAATAATTGGAAAGAGACTTCTAATTTAGGGATGGAGGGAGTATTACTTATATTATTGATAGTTTGATACTCTCAGCTGGAAATTTTCTTTGTTGTGTGGATATCTTTAGGAATATTATTGATGGTTTGATAGTTAATGATATTGCAGAGTATGAAAGCTATAACTTGTTAATGGAAATTGATGACTCCATCTTGTTGTTTCCCTTGTTGTTTCGTTTATATTCCTACTTAGTTTTATATTGGATGATGGAAGTCAAAATGAATAGTCAATGTTTATTTAATATGCTAATATGTTTAGTTTATTTATCTTAGCTTATTTTATGATTCTGTCAAGTTATATTCGAATATATCCTGCTAAGTATGCTAACCTATTCGTATATTCTGCTATAAGCATGTTTATGTTTTTATTATTCTTTAAGTAACTGATTTTATTTTATCTTTATGTTTCTAAGATAATATTTTCTGTCAAATGTATTTATTTATCTAGCTTATTATTTATCTTATTTGGTTGTTGAATTTTTCTGAATATGATAAGATTTCTGTTTAAGATAAATATTGCTGTTACTTGTGCTTGCTGACCTGGTTTTTAGGAAGCTAAGTATGCTGTAACAGATTTCTAGCTGGAAGATAAACGTTGAATTTAAAAGCAGCTTTGAAGTTTGAATTTGAAAGCTTCGAAATTTCTGGAGTTTGTTGAAGACCCAGAGACTGCTGGCAACGTTTTAAAGTCAGCTTCAAAGCCTTATAAATAGCATGAAGATCAGCCGGTTTCATTATCCAAGTTTTTCAAGAAGTCTTGTGCTATTCTAAGAGCTTTAATTCTCTCATTGTTTACTACTTTTCATTACTTAAAAGTGAGGGAAAAATACGAGTGTTCACTTGTGCTAAACTTTGTAATACTTGAGTGATACACTTCGTAGTAAAATTATAATACTCGAAGTTGTTTGAGTGTGTTAGCTTTTATTTCTAGGATTTGAGTGTTTAAGGTGTAGTGGGAAGTACTACGGAGAGAAGATAGTGAGATCTTCTAGGTTGCTTTAGAACTCTAAGGGAAGAAATAAAAGTTGGTTAAAATCCTACGGGTTGGACAACCCTAGGCGGAGACGTAGGCCTTTGTGCTGAACTTCGTAACAATTCCTTGTGTTTATTTCTGTTTTTATTTTTGCCTTATTCTTGCTTTCGTTCTTTGTTTTAAACAGTTTTAACAAAATCCAAAACAAACGTTTATAACCTTCTGCTTACTAACTGTTTTACTTTAAATAGTTTTCAAAGTCTTGATTTGTAAAACAGAGATCAGTTTATTCCGCCCTGTAACTGATCTCAAGGCCTTGACATTTTCTGTTTTGCGAAAAACGCCCATACTCTATTCAACCCCCCCCCCCCCCCCTTCTAGAGTATTAATATGTTTATTCCATTACCATTGTGATCCTTTCAGAAATGAATTCTAAACTTAGAGACGGCACACTTAGCAACTGACTCCAAGTGGCTAAGGTTAAAAATGCTTGCATGTTACGGAAGGCAAATTCTGTAGTCTCATGCTAATGCCATGATAAGTACAGGATGACTTCTTTTTTGCCGAGTATTGATCAATCAGTTATATTGCTAAAAAGAATGCAATGAGAATTTTTCGTATTATCTTGCAGTTAGAAGATGTATTAAAACTTGGTAGAATTGAAGTAAAATTGTTCGGCTGATATTGTTATCTAATTGCCACATTTCCTTTTACTTGAAATGTTAGTATATCCAATCATCTAAATGCTTGAATGTCTATTCTTCTCATCAACACATGCTTATTTAGGCCAATTTGAGTGAGTTACTTGCGTTATAGATTTTTGTTGTTTGTTCTGATTTCTCTGTACAATTATACAATGAATATACTGCTTAGTGCTTACTGTTGATTTGTAAGGGTTGCTAAATATGTGAGACTTCTTTTATTTTGTAAGATTTGTTGGTTTCCTTGTAGCTAAATTCTTCTTACTAGAATCCCTTGCATAGTTGCATCAACATAATTTAAGTACATTTTGTTTTTTTGGCAAAGTAATGTAAGTGCATTGATAAATGATACGGCACCTTTTTCTGACTCTATTCTCTCCTTGTATGTAATACAAAGCACAGTATATAGAATGTGATTATATTGCAGCCATTGCTTCTGTTGGCTGGTGTGTATAGCCTTATTGGCACCCAACTGACATGTCTGAGCCAAAACTGGTGGAGGCAGAGGTTAAAAGGCTTATAACCATGAATAAACCAAAAGAATCCTGGCCATGAGCAAAGCTCAATTCTCTGCTGCCTTTTTTCCTGCAAGTCTACAACACTCTCATCACTAAGGTAAAGCATGATTCACATGACAGCATTAACAAAGTAGAGGTCTATATTCCGAAGCACCTAATGGTTTAAATCTCGTTTGTTTGTGCAAGGACCTTGTAGCTGTGGTGCTATCTGAGATGTGTCTATTTCACTCAAAAGACTCAGGTGATTACATTGTTCTTTCCTCAATTATCTGTCCTGGTTATTCATAATGTTGTAATTTGTAAGAAAAAGTTTGAAGCCTGTCTATCTTTTATGTAAAGTTTGGCTTGTAACAAATTTTTGCTGACATGCATATTGCAATTATGTAGTAGCATCACTAGCATACACTTTTCAGCTTTCTTTTCCCTTTCATTTCAGGGTTGAGGCGGCAGCCAAGTTTAAGAAGATGCAGGACTAAGAAATTGAGAAAACAAGAAGTATGTAGCTGAGAGGATGCAATTGGCACAGATCCACAATGGGAAGAAGCAACTTTCTTTTCCCTTTCATTGCAGGGTTGAGGAGGCAGCCAAGTTTAAGAAGATGCAGGACCAAGAAATTGAGAAAACGAGAAGTATGTAGCTGAGAGAGAGCAATTGGCACAGATCCACAATGGAAAAAAGCTAGATTGAAATGAAGAAGAGGCTCTTGGAGGTGGTGGAGGTGGATATGGGGTATGATGCGGCCTTGATCAACTGTACTTCCAACTGCTGTAGTGCCATCCAATATGCTTCAAGTCCACTCAAAAGTACCTGGAGCAATTAATTTCTCCTCCTGGTCTAAAAATCTTTTATTAGTTGACTGTTTTGTTCTTTAAATTATTGGTCTTTTTGACATGTGTTTAATTGTGTTTGTGAATAGGTTTTGAGCAATGTGATTAAAAACTGTAGAACTGATGATGTGCAGACAAGGGTGAAAGTAGCAACGGCCATGAAGGACTTTAGGAGATATCGAGTTATTATACTGGTAGAACAGACTAAAAATATTGCAAAAGCCAGTGGAAGGAAGGAGGAAGGGGTGAGAGTCGTGAAGGATACTACTCTTCCTCCTTACTCTGATGGGAAAAGAAGACCATTAAACTGTAGAAACATCCTGTGATTTTAGTGTCATGTACTCATGTACAATGAAACTTGGAAGAGATGGAATATATTTTGATTTGGCTAGGGTAATTTTAGGGTTTTTGTCTTTTTAATTTTTTTTTAATTATTTTGGACCAATTATATGTTGACATGTAGACATCGTGAGCCCTATTAACAGATTCCATCCATGAATCAGTTATGTGGTGGTGAAAGCCAATTTTTTAAAATCTTGGTGGTGTTAAAATAAAGTTTTTTTTTTTTTTTTTTTTTTTTTTTTTTTTTTTTTTTTTTTGGTAGTAGTGTTAAAAATCAAATTCTTGTTTTTTCTGGTGTTAAAATTCAAAATTTCCTTTTATTATTTTGGACCAAATTGCGTTCCTACGTAGGCGCTCTTGTATAATGGTTCGAATTTGGGACCAACATATATTGGGATGGAACATAAAAGCTATGACGAACAAGAACATTGTTTGTTGTCTTAAAAAAAAAATAAAAAAAAAAGATCGTTGTTTGCTTAATAATTGGGCCCATAATATTAATCCGGTTAAAATTGCAACGTGTTGAACATTAGTGATTTGTTTAAAATATATACATAATCTCTCCTCTCTCCCCCCCCCCCCCCCTTCTCTTTCCACCACTACAACCATCACACCATATGTAGCCAACGATGTACTCCGTACCTAGGTTTTCATGCTACCTAATGTAAACATAGACACGTGGTACTATTAAAAAGTCAAACTAGCTAAAAATATGTTAAAGATCTTTTTGAAAAGGATCATCGTAAGACTACTCTCATTCATGGGCAAATAAAAAAATGGGAAATTCTTTCTGGTAATCATGAACTTTTATTTTTTCTCAGTGGTAAAGTGTGAAATTTTTTATTATCAATAGTAATCACGAATTTATATTACTAAACAAATGGTAAAATTAATAATAAAAAATATTTTTAAATGATTAACCAAGGTTAATCTTGGTTAAGTAACAATAAATTTACATTAGTACCCTTCAAATTATTTAAAAACAAAAAAAAAAATCCAAACCCCTCCCCAACCACACAGCCACCAGCCAACCGCCAGCCCCTTCCCCGTCCCGGAGATGGCGTCTCAGCCACATCCCCCGCCGGAGAAATCCACCTCCGACCACCGCAGCCTTGTGCTGTTGCACACCGAAGAAACCCCCTTCCCCTATTTCCCCTCTTTCTCTCCCCCTTATTTCTTCTCCTCTACACTGCCCCAACTACCACCACAGCCGCCCACCTGAACCACCGCTGTAGAGACCACCTGAACCGCCGCTGTAGAGACCACCTGAACCGCCTCCACTAACGAACAATACGCAAACAATAAAGCAATAGAACGGGAACCCAATTCCCAATTCCGGCCACACCAATAACGAGTAATGAGCAAACCTACATTAACGTAATCATTGAATTTAAATTAATTATACAATTATTTAACATTATTCAATTTCGGCCACCACTCTTCACCAATTCGCAAACAATCAAGCAACCCCAATTCGGCAATTTCGATCCTTTTTGGATCAATGTCGTCGCCTGCTCGAGAATGGAAGGATAAGATTTGCAGAGATCAACGAATTACTTCAGTTGCTGAACTTTCGAATCATCCAGTGTTTTCTTTTCGAGCTTTAAGATTAAGATCTGCATAAATTAATAAATCAAACAAAAATTTGGGTTTTGCAGAAAAATGAACAGGGAGGTTGAAGATGATTTCGTCCTACTATTCTCCTTGTTGATCAACTTTTCCGGTCGAAGTCATCGTCGTGTTCAGCGGCGGTTTCCTTTGGTTAGCCTTGAGTGTGAGGGTTCCTCCGATGTTGCGTTTACTTCTGTTGATTATGGTCGGTCTTCTGTTGATTGATGTTGGAAGAAGAAAGGAAGAAAATCAGGGGAAGGGAGATGTGGTTGTTTTTGGGGATAGTTGTGTCTTTTTGCAATCTTGTAGCTAAACCATGGTTAAAGAATTAATAAATATTTAACTTAAGTTACCATTTGCTCAATAATATTAATTCGTGATTACCATTGATAATTAAAAGTTTCTGACTTTATCACTGAGAAAAGATAAAAGTTTGTGGTTATCAAAGAGAATTCCCCTAAAAAAATGACATTATCTCTCTACCCACTTTCTCACTCCTCTTTTCCACTTTTTTTTTCATGGGCATTTTTCACACATTTATGGGCTAAAAAAAAAAAACCCACACCACTCTCTCTCCTAAAATATTACTATCATTACATTATCTTTAATATATGTGTAGTTTTTTTTTTTTTGGCTGATTTGGTACCATGGCCCACATTACTGTAGCAATGAATTTTTGCCATTGCTATGGACATTTGAGGATTTCCTGATGGGCATTTTTTCTAATGCTCATGAGTGGGAAGCCAAAATTTCATTTATTTTCATTAAATTCTCCTCATGGGCAAAAAAATGCCCATGAGTGAGAGTGCTCTAAGTTAATTGTGTGGGTTTGGACAAGGCTTAAAAGACATTTTTAAATCAAAGTCCAACCCCAATTTGGGAAAAGCTTGATAAGTCCGTTTTGACCCGATAAACTTGATACTTTTTGCGGGTTTGGGCACAAGTTTTTATGCACAAACCCGACCCTTTTTTTTAATCACCTCTACATATTTAGGACTTAGGTTAGGAGACTTGGGAGTTGGGACTAATAGAGTAGTAATAGGCAATTTTTAAAAATAAAAATAAATTAAAATAATGTTGGAAAAATGGAAAAGAAAAATCCAACCTTTGCACTTTTTTCTTACAAAAATCCAACCTTTATATCCTTGTTTCTTCAACAGGTCCATTTTAATTGTGACCTGATAAACAGGTTAAAAAAGTTTTTTTTTTAATATTTTTTTTTATTTTTGCATTTTCCCTTCTCACTCCTATTCTTTCTCACTCCTCTCACCTCATCCACTGAAACCACCAACCCCACCTTCGCCACCACCACTCATCACCGCCGTTTCACCTCTCCTCCCCTCCCTCACTCTCATCCTCCCTCTCTATCTCTCTCTCACCTCTTCCTCCATGGATCAGCCCTCACCCTCGGCTACAGGGGGCTTGCGAATCCAAGAAATCCGAGGGTTTGGGAGGCGCATATGGGTTCGTGGAGGGGTAGGGCTTTTGAAGGGTAGTTTTTCGAGGATGTTTCAGGTAGGGAGGGTTTCGGGTAGGAAGGTTTTTAGGGGCTAGGTTTCAGGGAGGGTTTCGGGGTTTTTAGGGGATAGTTTTCAGGGAGGGTTTCGGGTTTTTTAGGGGCTAGGTTTCAGGGAATCGATGGTGGGTTTTTAGGGGCTAGGTTTCAGGGAGGTGTAGTTACGGCTGGGCGGTTTGCGGGGCTTGGGTTTGGAGTTGGTGGCTGGGCGGTGGAGTTGGTGGCTGGGTGTGTGTGTCGGTGGTAGGGGAAGGTGGTGGTGGTGTGCGTTGGGTTTTGGTGGGCGCGCAGGGGAGGGAGGGGGGAGAAGGAGTGGTGGCAGGGGAAGGTGGTGGTGGTGGAAAGGGATTTCTGATTTTTTTTTTAATAATTAAAAAAATAATTAACCTATTAATAGCACTTACAAAAATTCGGTCATCAACAGGTAATAGACCTCTATTGGAGAAGTAGGGGTATAAAGGTTGGATTTTTAAGGAATAAATTGAAGGTTGGATTTTGTGAGGAAAAACTGCGAAAGGTTGAATTTTTCTTTTCCATTTTCCCAATAAAGTTTGTGTTTGAAAATAACCCAACGAATCAAATCTAATTCACTTCTTCAAAAACCCTCCTTTCCTCTTTCTGGGTTCCTTCCTTCTTCTTCCTCTTCATCTTTTAATAAACAATTTTATATTTTTTTGATCAGTTCAACAAACAATTTCAAGGTTTGATTTTTATGGATTTTTACAGCTTCAGATGTTCGTCAGCTTCTTCCATTGCTTCCCAGCCGTCCGATCCTTCCATCTTCAACGCTTCTGATTTCAACAATTCTCTTTCTTCCAGATTTACCCCTTGGTTTCGTTACCTCCAGTTTAGTTCTCCGAAATAGTATTTTCCGGTGATTATTTGACGTCCTTTAGGTAATTATCCATCCACAATGTTTAATTTTGTTAATTTTTATTACAAATTTTCAATTTAATTTGTTTTCAATTCTTGGGGTTTTTGTTTATGAGTTTTTTAAATTTGTTTGATTGGAAATTGGTGATGGGGTGTTTAATTCTGAGATTAATCATTGTTTGATTGGTCAAATTTGAGCTAATTTCTTGAATATTAATCTTTTGTCAGTTTAATTATTGTTTATTTAATCAAAGTTATAGAAAATTTGTTGATTCGTGTAATCGTGTTCATCTTTTAAGCTTGATTATATGTGTGATTAGTTTATTTGTATCAATTTTTATTTTTTTAGTGCTGTATATGTCTCCAGTTAATTGGGTTATCAAAAATTCAAAATCGACCAACAGCTTATTAAATTATCTTAGTTGTTTAGCGGTTTCATCTTAATAAGAGCAAAGCCAATGGTTGCCCATTTAAGGTGGGCATCAAGAGAGAGAAAGAAAAAAAATATTTAAAAATTCAAAAGATGATACTTTAGGAGAGAGAAATCTAATGACCAGGTCATGGCCATGACCATTGGCAAAGGGTGGGCAAACAATATGTGTGTGCCACTTGTCATGGTATGAGTGGAGTATATTTTTTTATTATTATTTTCTTAGTTAGTGATGAATATTATGATCATAAAAAATTAGAGGGCAACCAATGGGTATATGTGGGCATAATTGGGCAAATAATTGGGCATAGATGAGATGGAAGAGAGAGATATTAATAAAAAAGTTGATGACCACCATTGATTTGGGCAACCATTGGCTTTGCTCTAAACTGATTGAGTTAGCGGTTTCAGTGTTCGTGTTTTGTTTGTCTAATACCGGGTATGGATTTATGAATCAAGTTTGTAACAATGGGTGTATGTCAACTGAAAAACTCTATTGAAGTTGGAAATAGACAATTGGGAATGGTTGGGATTTCCTACCAGAACTAATGATCATATGCTGTGATTTTGGTAGTGCACCTGTCGAATTCGTATATCTGTCTATACAACATAATGCAAGTTTTTAAAGTCCGTTTTTGTGTGTTGTGTGTCGGATATCAGGTTTTTATTGTTGTAGAAAGCGGAGACTTATCAGAGGCGCTATTTATTTCAAGGGTATTATTTAGTTTGTGGAGGGAAAATCAGCTCCCGGATAGATCCTTGCTACTTGGTTTGAGAGTTTGACTGATATGATTGCGAGCAAGGGTGATCCGAAGATGTCTCAGAGACGTGGGAAGACTTCTGGTTGGGCTGCTTTTGACCAGCAGCAAAGGAAGAACGACAATCCTGATGACCGGCCTAGTAATGAGGCGTTTCCTTCACTTTCTGGTACAGTTCAACCTGAAAAAACATTTTCAAGAAACGAGCAACGCCAAGTGAAATCATTCTCATCAGTTATACTGCCTTCACTAGATTTTCCAGCTCCTTTAAAAGAAGACTTGAATGGCAAGTCTTCTGGAATTAATAGCTCTGTAGGGCCTCAGATCAGTCAGATTTCTCTGAACAACAATAACGATTTGGTCTCTAGACAGCTTAAAGAGCTATTCGACTGGGCTGATGATAGTTTGATTAAGGATATAATTGCTGCTGCAGATGGTGACTTTGACAAAGCGTCATCCTTTTTGAAAGCCATGGTTTATGACCAGAGTTCACCGGAACATGAGAATGTTGTAATGAAAAGTTCTAGCTTTAGTAATATGGAACCAGTGACCAATGGAAAATTGATACCTGCAAAAAGAGATGCTTCCTTGAAACATATGTCTGAATCTGCCACGACGTGGTCTGTTCTGAAGCCATGTGTTGGTAATAACTTCGAAAATGTGACGAATGATATTACTCTTTCTGCTGGAAAGCTATTTGATGATTGTATGGAATCCAATGCAATGCTGGGTCAGTTGACATCTGTGCCTGTTGAGCCTGAGTGGGAAGAGGATGATGTGTACTTAAGCAGCCGTAAAGATGCAATAAAGATGATGAGGTTTGGGTTTCTATACTTGCTATTCACATTAATAATGCTCAGTTAATTTTGTATGCAAAGTATGTGTATCTGCTTTCTGATTTGAATCGTTTTAAAAGGATAAGTCACATAAGGTGTACTAATAATAATATATATAAAAAAAAAGTAGCTTCAAAATTGAGATAGCTTTGAACATGTCCTTTTCTAAAGCAGTTTTTTCTGAATTCTGATTATTTGGATGTCATAGGCTTCAGTTTTTGAAAAAAATCTCCCGTGATCAACATTAGAATGGCTGGGGAATGTTGTTTTATTTTCTGTCTAAGAGTAATATCTGCTGTTGTTGGGTGTAGTTGTATAACTATGAGAGTCATAGCATGCATTACCGATAATCGAATCAAGTAAATCTACATTACTCTGTAGTAGAGCTTCATCTTGTACTAACCAATTGGGTTAGGGAAGTTAAGGCTTTTTTTTAGGTTTGATTTAAACCATTTATTTGCAATCTAATAACTTGTCATTCTTGTTTCCGTATCAATTAGGGAAATCTATATGTAGCTTAGTGTTTGCATATTAATTATAAGCAATCATACTTCTACTTATATGTAATGTAAATCATTTTTCTCTCAACAGGGCTGCTGCACGTCATTCCAAGGCAGCAACTAACTCGTTTTTAAGAGGTGATCACATCTCTGCCCAACAGTTCTCTCTAAAAGCGCGGGAGGAATGGGAAGCTACACAAAGTCTAAACGCAAAGGCTGCTTGTGATATTTTGAGCATACGAAATGAGAATAATGGAATCTGGAGGCTGGACTTGCATGGTCTTCATGCGTCAGAAGCAGTCCAAGCAGTGAAGGAACGCCTGCATATGATTGAGACCCAAATGCTGTCTGAGGGTTCAAGGTCCTCAGAACTTCCAAACAGATTCAGGACCAAAACGGAAGAATGGTGTGCTTCATATCCTGATGGCTGCAATAATTTGGAAAAGCCAGACAATCGTGCATTAAATAGGCTGAAGCCAATATGGTTGGAAATCATAACAGGTATAGCTGCCAATTACCTCTCTAAATAGTATGGATCCCACAGCTTGCAAATTCAAATTAATTTTGCTTTTGCATCATTACTAAAGTTGGCCTCTTCATTGGCAGGCATAGGAAATCATAGCCGGGGTGGGGCTGCACTTCCAACCGCCGTGAGGACCTTCCTTGCTGACAATGGGTGAGTCTGCGTGTCTCGTTGCATATCAACCCCAATGCTAATTTTTGTATTTTGTAATAAAATGGCAGCTTGACATTGCAGGTATCGATTTGATGAAGCAAGGCCAGGAGCAATTATGGTCCGACCTAAATTCCGTCTCAGTTAAAGGGTCCTCTATCTTACAACAGCCTCCTAAATGATTGCAGTGTTCCAATAAACACCTTCATTCATGTCAGTTACTTGGATTCAGTGACATGGCATACTAGTATTTTAAATTTTTTATACCTGAAAATTCTGTTTTGTTTGTAAGTTAGTTAGGCTAATTTATATGTGTTCCCCCTCATAATGTAAAAGCTAATTTGTATATTCCTTATTCTTTTGATAATTTGAGTTTCTAGTTCATTCTTCAATTCAATTTTCTGCCTTTTCCGTATTCAAAGTTCTAATTTCGGGCCAGAAAGGTGAATACTGACCCATACTGATTAACGCGCTTAGCAGTTTAGCAGCAGTATAGAGTTAAATTTCCTACATTCAAGTTTCAACAAGGGCGATTCTTAGGTATTGTATATTGTACCAGGTACAAGAGAGGTTAGTGAAGAAATAGGACCAATATAGAGAAGTGATGAACGTACATGAAACCATTGAATCAAGGTGCAAGAAAACGATTGAGGGCAATAAGGTAGACTGATTCATGTTGCATAAGGATTTAAGAACATTGCAGTACAAAACAGTAGGATTGCTTAGAGAAGGTTGGGCTAATGAATTGATTATATTAACAGAAATTTGACCATGCAATCTCTGATCTTGTAACAAATGTACTCCGTATTCTTTGCCAGAACAAGAGCAAACGACAAGCATCAAGAACACAACTAACAAAAGAGACTAAACCGGAGAACCACTGATGATAATTTGAACTTCGAAAGCCATACATACCATAAACATAACACGAAAACAATCTACTCCGTATATAACAAGGCACTGACATTAAGATACCAGTAATTAACTATTTTAGACAATTCTGTCTTGAAATTTACATAAAATATAAAAAATATATCAAAGTAAAATTTTCAGGTATAAATTCTGTGAATATGGATGAATCATCCCTACCCCTCAGAAAATTGAAAACAAAACTTCATTATTAACATTCCAGTCTTATGTAAAAAACTAAAAAAAAAATCCCAACTAATATAATGCCATAAGCATGATGATAGGAGCCTATTTTCTGATGAAATATTAACACTCCTAAGTTGAAGTAACAGAAATATGATGAATATTCACATGATATAGGAGTGCGAGCCGCCAATCAACCGTCATCCTTGCATGAAAATGCATTCCTTCTAAATTCCGGGCAGACACTTGATGTCTCCTAATTCCAAACCAACTTCAAAAGTCGCGACTTCACATGCTTCAGCAAATAGAAGGGGGGGGGGGATGGGAAAAAAGAATAGCTGTATAAATAAGAAACCAGAATATCCACCGGACATTGAGCCCTCCATGGATAATTTTACTTGTGCTGCTTCATATGGGGGTAGAGTCCGAGTATATGCTCAGACATGAAATCATGTCGCGTTAAAATTCCAACAATTGGGGGTCTCTGCATTAAGAAAAGGAGCATCAGACACATACTTAATTTGGTTTTTTATACTAGTAATTTATGGAATGTAGGATAACAATACAAGTTTAACAAGTCAGGACAATACTAAAAGCTGACTCAAGCAGCTTGTACAAACTGATAACAATGCGAGCTAGTCACACAAGCCAAGTGATCCAACAACAATTGATTTCCAAAAAAGGTCAAAATATCAGCAACATACTCTTAATACACAGTTAGATTGCACAGCATACAGATACTTTTAAACAAGCAATGAAGCTCAAAATAGTAGTTATACTAGTTAAGAGAAGAGAAAGGGGAAGGGGGGGGGGGGGATTCGGAACTCAATAACTCATAAATAAAAATAAATAAAAATTATACGAGTAATAACTTACCCCTTGACTCTTTGGTACAACACACATATGTCTCAGTCCAAGTTGCCTGAAGAGAATCATAGCTTTGGCCAACGACATAGTCTCAAGCACAGTATATGGAGATGCATTAGTTATTGGATGAAGATCAATCCACATTTCCATGTCTTCCTCTGTTAAAGATATATCCTCCAACTTGAGCCCTTTCCCCGTCCCAGGCTTAGCAAAGTCAGAGGGAGAGAACTTCTTCAAGATATCTCTACCCGAAAGCCTCCTCTCTTTGGAGAAATACTTTGCCTTCAGCAAAACAAGCAGATGTGACCTCAGAACCAATCCACACAACTCGGGTGAGTCTGAAAAAGGTGGTTCACCAATAACTGGAAAACCATTATGCCCTGTACTTTGCAAAGCATGTACAACAGTTTCCACCTTCTCCAGACCTGAAAAAGTGACTAATGGGCCAGAAACAGCATCGCCGGCCACCAAGTGCTTCATATAAGGCTCTGCATGAGCTTCCAAATATGGCAACCCTTTTAGTTTCACTATTTGGTCATATACACCACGGTTGAAGCAATCAGCCACTGATTTAGATATGAGGAGAACTATCATCACAAGGGGAAGCAGTAATAGATTATTGGTAAGCTCAAGCAGTATCACACATAAAGAGACTGTCATTCTCATTGTTCCCCCGAGAAATGAGGCAGCTCCCAGTAGAGAGAATAGACCCGTATCAAGCACTGACACAGAGTGAAAGACTCTACCTACAATACGACCATAAACACTTCCAGCTAAAATTACAGGTATGAATAGTCCTGCGGGTACTGCAATCCCATAAGTGACGATCCCAAGGAAATAAATTGTAACAAAGAATATGAAGAGTGAAGACATCTGAAATTCTCTTATAATGGTGTTGCTGAAAAGATTGCGTATAGCATCATCGCTTGTGGTGAGGAAGAGAGAAGCAAGATCATTGTAGGATCCAGAAGGACATTGAAAGCTTTTGTAATGCCCAATTTCACCAATAGTTGGGCACTCGTTTGCTGAATCTGTCGGACATGGGGTGCAACTTACGAGCCATGGAAGGCCGAAGGCACAGCATGTTGTCAGGACAGATATAATTATAACAAGCAAAACTCTGAAGGATGGACCTTTTCTGCAAGGCATTAGACACGGGGGCATTAGAAGTTTTCTATCATATAAAAACTACATAATATACTACAGACAGATGCATTGTCAATGATAGTGCATGTAATATTCGTGCCTTCAAAATATCAACAGACTAAATTCACTAAAATGATCATATGCGTTTTGCAATCTCTATTACTCGAGCTTCATGTTTAAGTAATCATTAGAAGTTTAGAACCCCATGAATTTCATAAGGAAAATTTTAAAGATTTCCAGTTTCTATAGAATAAAGGCCTACTACATTAAAACATTACACTATTTAAAACATACCACAATGGTTAATTCCTAAAATAAAGCATATTCGTAGACAGACAATTAGAATAACTTACTCATTAATGACACTGTAAGTGCGGAGGACCTTGTCAACAAGATAATTATAGAAGCTACCCATAACACCTCCGATGACTCCAAGAAATATAACAGCCAGGATATCATAACTACCATAACTTGATACCTCTTTACTAACATCATACATGATTAGCCCACCCTGACCAAACAGACCACATTTTCCATTCCAACAATATTGGATAAAGCTTCTCAAAACTATGGCAACTACAGCTGTGGTAAAAAATGTTCTCCACAGAAGAGCACTCCGCCACCTGAAATATGTCGAAATGAATGGGTAAATAAAATATATATAAAACAGCCAATTTTGTAAAATTCTGGAGTAACAGACCAAAATATCATTGATAGATTCTTAAAGACTTCATAACATTTCATTGCTTATAGTTATCTGCTTTAAGTCATTTTATATACATTGTTCTATGCTAAGCTATCACATGAAACCTTATATGATACATCAAATTCCTGATTCAAATTGAACAAAAATCACTTTGCTGGTAAACAAGAGTAAGCATACCAGGAGGCTGCTTCTTCAAGGGCAAAAAGCACACCACCAACAGGAGCACGAAAAGCAGCAGCCACTCCAGCTGCAGCACCACAGGTGATCAAATCTCGCCGATCTCTATCATTCTTGAAATATCTGAGCCAATTCCAAGTCAAACCATACTTGCGAGAGCCACCCTGACCAAGTAGATTGGCAATGCAAGCCCCAGTATGAACCATAGGGCCTTCCTTACCAACCACAAACCCAGCAGAAACACCAAGAACAGAGCCAAAGATCTGACCATGAAACATTGAGTGAATCAACAATTATAACTAGTATCTCTTCATGCCAAACTGACTCACTTTCACTATTAGTATTTTTAAATATTCACAACATTGATTACCAAAGAAAAATTTCTCTAGTAAAGGCATAAGAGCTGAAAACTAGAAATTTATTTACTTTATACAGATGGGAATAAACACTTCAAGTTCAGGAATGTATTAGTCAGTTCATAAACAATCACATGAAAGAAACCTCCTGACTGTTCATGCATAAAATTAAAAAAATCTTCTGGTAATGATTCATAAATCATAATCCAGTTGGCTAAATTTTAGAGCATATGCTTAAAAATTCTTTAGTTAGCCTCTTTAGAGAGACTGAGTAATAACCACTCAACTTATAATTAAATTGCCTTACAGAAAAAATAATTGAACCGTTCTTTCTTTGCAGGTATGGATAAAGATTAAGAATTTTATCATATAAACTGCATAAATAGAAATATTATCAAAACGAAGATCTCCGTCTTTGGAGGAAGGAGTGTTAGCATAAAAGCAATTCTTGATCACTAATCATCAGACTTTATCATGAAAGAAGTGAGATATCTTCAGTCACTCTTCACCCCACCCCCCAAAATTAAAAATCCTCAGGATATTGAGGGAGTCATTTACCTTTACAAAGAGTGTGATAGGAGCCAAGATTGAGGGAGCATCAACACCGTTAAGATAGGCTTTGACCTCAGGGATACCAGATCCCGCAGCAGCAGGAGCCAAAAAGGCACAAAGTGATCCGGCAGCAGCAGCAAAAGTTATATTCAATCCAGCAAATGCAAGAAAAGCCTTGAAGTAACTGTACTAGAACCATAATGCATAAAACAATAAACAATATATAAGAACCAGAGTAAAATTTTCAATCTCTAATTGATGTAGCATTTTTAATAATGGTAACAATTTTAGCACAAGAAAGTTGAGGTATTAAACTAACTGGAACATTATTGTTCAATATTAGACATGTATTTTCTTTAAAAAAAAATATTAGACACGTACGCGTATTAATGAAACTTACCTTCCCTGAAGCATGAGTTTGTTAGTGAGCAACAATTTGAAACCAGATATATTTTCAACTGCAATGTTGTTGAAGAAGCCAATAAGTCCAGTAGTAAGACC